CTTTCATATTTTTTATATCGTATCAACTGAAAGTGAGAAATCTATATCATGATATAAGATTTGGCCATATTGTGCAGCCCTACTCTGTTATTGTCAACACATAACAATTAAAAACAGGAGTTCTCAAATTATGATAGAGTATAAAACTAGTTATAACTGAATAGTTAAATCACAGTTAAGAGCATTTTTTTTTTTTTTTAGTTTCCTTTGAGTTGCGTTTAATTACTGAGGTACCTTAATGTGAGACACAACAACCTGCTGTGGTTCCTATTTCTGGTCAAAGTTCTTATAAGCTCAGAATTATGTTTTCTTGTATTTTCTCATGAGAATGAGCCGCAGTTAGTTAGCTAACTAGATTCTCCTGTGATGCCATTGTTAATGCATTACTATCCTGATGAGATCAAGCCTGGACAGCTTGACTTACATGAGTGTAAGTCAGTCTAGTAAGGGTGGATACTCTCTGGACTCTAAAACAGACCAGACCGTTGGGAGTGTAGGAGGTGGGCCCATGTTGCAACAGCGCTTCTCTGGTACAATAACTGTCATAATTATAGCATTAACAGAGCAATGTTTTAAAGATGACCTTTATAATGCCCCGAAAGAGCATTTTATGCTGTTAAAGTTTCAACAGTTAACTACTGAGCTTTTCTTGTCTTACAAAAAAATTATTTTAGTGACGGATCCATAGTTATCTGATTGGTTCCAAACTGTTTCCACTGACTCTTATTCTCACCTTTGAAATGGGCCTCTAGTGCTTCCTTCTCAATGAATATGCTGCACACAGTTTAAATTAATCTGGCTGACCAGGTTAGACGAAATCATGTTAAATTATCCTTTTTCTGCTAACATGTAATTATTTTTCACTCAGTGACATCATCAATCGCCTCTGATATCCTGACTCCTGTGATTAAATCAGGCTGTGTATTCACTTATAATACCTCTTCTGTTTCCACAGCAACCAGTGCCCCTCCGAAGCTACGAGTGGAGCCTGTCATCTTTTCCATGGTGTCCAGCCTGGCTGTCAGTGGCGCCGTCCTGCTTTCCTTTTTGGTCTACAGGCGCCACAGACGGCCCTACCCGCCTGTCCTGCTGCCCACACAGGTGGGTCTGTCAGCAGCTGCCAGCAGATGGATCTGATCTGGTTTTGGCTTTAGAACTGTTTAGCTTCAAACACCTGTTGTCTGAACTGTTTTCTCATGTAGTAGACGACGGGTTCCTTTTTCAAAGTGTGATCATAGAACAGCTTTGTTTGATTCAGAAACTGTCTTTTTATTTTTTGGACAAATTAGGTTTCTGCAGTGCTGATCAAACATGTAAAATCTGGAAAATAATTGCTGATGTGGAGAAAGTCATATGATCACCTTGTGATGGTTTATCCTCTCCAAAAAAGTCATACATTGTTTTTAGTTTCCAACATGGCCGGGCAAATAAACGCAGTGATAAAATACAAACATCATTCAATTTTGGTCGCATTACATTGACTTTCCCACTTTTGGTGTCAGTAATTAGTTTTAAGTGGGTTTGCTGCAACACAAAAGTGAAGAGAGTTGCAACTATCATACAGATCCATGCATGCAAATAGAAAACTATTTACTTTTTATGCAACAGTAAATTCCTGCCTCAATTGACTCTGGACAAGCCAGCTTTCAAGGTCGTAAAAACATTAAAACCCTGGAGAGAAAGATCTACATACTGGTAGTTGGTGTAAAGAAAAAAATCTAAATAAAATAGAGGTCAAAAAAGTTTTGATGATTAAAAAAAGCAATGGTTTTAATATTTGACAACTTTATTCAGCCTTATTTGTCAATAATCGGGTAGCAATTATGCGTCATTAATATCCATGTGGGTGGATCAGAACCAGAAGATCCTGAATCCAGACAAAACAGTCCCTGATTGTCTGCTTAAGGCAAACGATCACTAACTTTTTAGGCCTTATTAATCGCACATTCTAAATGTTATGTCAGTAGGTCACCACTCTGCAGACAATTCTGATGGTCATGTGACCAGAGGTAGTCATGTCAGAAGCTCAGAGCCCTCAGTGATGATTAAACTTAGATCAGCTGACTGTATGACCTCCCACCCTTTTTTTGTGTTTTTGCCTCTCAGAACGTCTTCCACATTTTAATGGAGGTAAGAGTGGGACGCTGTATGCTCCCTGTTCCCTCTCTCCCTCACTGCTCACTGTGATGCTGCCCGCTCTTGACTTGCACTGATAATGTCTCCACCTGCTGCACAGAGGAGGGTGGTGCATGAGGCTCAGTTTGGGGATTCTGGGATTTTAATTAGTGGGGTAAATAACTTTGACCTAATAACTCCCTAACTCACATCTTCTGGTTTCCTGTAGGACCCTGGTCCGATGCCCCCCTCCCCCGTCTTGGGTCAGAGGCCTGTGCAGCTTCTGGAGGTCAAAGCCAGGGGGCGCTTTGGCTGCGTGTGGAAGGCTCAGCTCCTCAGTGAACATGTTGCTGTTAAGATCTTCCCCATCCAGGTGAGTCTGCTACAGCCAGGTTTAAATCATCAACCAGAGATGCACTATTAACTACATCTTCTGGATTGTCTAAGCAGGTGCAGCTTCATCTCTGACTTTTTACTTCTCCAACCCTGTTTGCTTTCAGGAACGTCAATCATGGCAGGCAGAGTACGAGATTTACAGCTTGAGTGGAATGAAGCATGAAAACCTGCTGCAGTTCATCGGAGCAGAGAAGAGAGGCTGCAACACAGAGCTGGAGCTGTGGCTCATTACTGCCTATCATGAGAAGGTAAAACAACGACCCCTGCTGTGTTGTTAGGGTACTGCAACAACTGCTAAAGATGGATTTATGGCAGAAAATAGATTATTTTTTATTAATTCTCTCTCTTTATAACATTTGATTTGTTTTTGTTGCTTGATTAGCAAAAACTATAATATATAGTTGCAACGTTACAACTAATACATAAAAGTTAGAAATAGAACATCAAGACTTTTTAACAGTTATGTCAGGATATACACTTGATGTCTCCATAATATGATAATCAAACAGATTCAGTAGATTTCTTTTTTTATTATTTTCTGTGTGTTAATTATTTAGATAAAAGTGGAGTTTCAACTTTTGTTGATAATTGCTAAAGGGAAATACTTTAGAAATACACACGCAATCCTGACATCTGGTGGACAGTTGGGGAAACTGCAGCACCAACAATGCAGACTTAAAGTTTAAATTATCGTTAAACGTTTTATATGTATCCAGTTGTAAAAGTGCAAAGTCTGCAGTGTCCCGGGTATTTACTTTGTTGTAAAGTACAGATTCAAACTCAGCCATGTTAAGCTATTATAACTTTCTGTCCTCTTGTTCTCAGGGTTCAGTGTGTGACTACCTGAAAGCCAACGTCCTCTCCTGGTCTGAGCTTTGTCTCATCGCTCAGACAATGTCTCAAGGTCTGTCCTATCTACACAAGGACATACCTGGGCACAAACCTTCCATTGCTCACAGGTATGATATAAGAACATCAGATTACAAAGCCAAGCTAAAGGCAGACGGTAGTTTTCAGTCTCCTTGTTCTTACAGGGATTTTAAAACCAAGAACATTCTCCTAAAGTCGGACATGACGGCTTGCATCGCCGACTTTGGACTCGCTCTGAGATTTGAGGCCGGGAAAACTTTAGCTGCAGCCCACAGACACGTGAGTCTTCGAGTGAAAGTTTTGATCTTAAGTCATAATCATCAGGACCTGTAGGGTTTTTGAGCTTCTTTGAAGAGGCAGTGATCTCATTACTCAGTCTGGTGTCTGACAGGTGAAAATCTCCAAAGATCACTCAAACATTTAACTATTAAGTGTTTGTGTCTGTTAGCCCTGAACTTTCTTCCATGTTAATTTGTATAAATGTTTTAAAGCTTTTTATAGAAAAACATTGTACTTTTTCTAAAAGCTCTGGTGCTCTTTACTCTTCCTGCCTCAGGTGGGTACCCGGCGCTACATGGCCCCAGAGGTCTTAGAAGGAGCCATCAATTTCCAGAGAGACGTCTTTTTGAGGATAGACATGTACGCTGTGGGCCTGGTGCTGTGGGAGCTCGCCTCACGCTGCAAAGCTGCTGACGGTAACTGACACTAAACACCAGCCACCTTGTTGGGCTTCAGCATTTAAGCAGGACAGAAAACTGTATGTTATTAAAACAAACACCTTGTTTGAGCCTGACTCTGAACCAAACTAAGGGCAGAATAATTAGTTCTTAAAACATCTTAGACAGAAAATACTTGTGGTTCTGAACAACACAGCTGTGAGCAGGTGTAAACCCCCTCCCCCCTGTTGAGAGAAACATGGCCTGAACATTTTGCATCCATTGGAACCAAGAGGTTATGGATCAGATAAATAAAGTTGAAGTTCTTAAAGCTTTCAATTGAACATATTGCAGTTCAGATGGGTAATTATTCTGAAAGATCAGTTCCTGGACCTGGTTGGCTCTCTTTTGCTCTACCCTGGTTCTGCATCTGTAACAGTGCTGTGGTTCTGTTCTTTAATCCAGGTCCTGTGGATGAGTACATGCTGCCTTATGAGGAGGAGGTGGGCCAGCACCCATCTTTGGAGGACATGCAGGAGGTGGTGGTCTTTAAGAGGCTAAGGCCCACCCTAAGGGATTGTTGGCAGAAACATGCGGTGAGTCGCACTATAATGACCAGCATGCACCTGTTTGACAAGTCGGACTGATAAAGATGTTGATTAGGCGTCATGGATGTGTTTGTCTCTGTGCAGGGCATGGCTCTGCTCTGTGAGACCATAGAAGAGCTCTGGGATCACGAGGCCGATGCCCGGCTGTCGGCCGGCTGTGTGGAAGAACGTGTGGCGCAGATGCAGCGGCTAACCAACATCACTGCCTCTAAGGACCTTGTCACGGTTGTCACCATGGTAACCAACGTGGACTACCCTCCCAAAGAATCCGGCCTCTGAGGACCATGGAGGATAGCTCTAACCTGTGACATCACTCTGGCACTACAGAATAAAAGACTTTCGGGTGATGCTGATGGTGGGTTGGTCTGATATAGGGGCTCCTGTTTGCCTAAGTGAAGCATCTCCTGATCCGAGGACATCAGATTACTGGTCTTGGTAACACTAACTTGTGGAAGTAGAGAAAATGTTCCTTACACTGCTGTGTCTAGGGCAACCGTTTGCCACACCGCCCTGAACAAGACCGTCTCTGCACAGAGTCGCTGCTGAGGACAAGTTGTCTAATCTACAGGAACTGGAGGAACCCAAACTGTGGGACTTTTTTATTTTTTCCTAAACATCTGCTGCTCAGTTAAAGAATTGTCCCTGACAGGATTAGCATCTCAGGACGTCTTCAGATGTTTTAGAGGGTAAATTATTTATCGACGATCTGAGAAAATAATCAGTATCTGGTCTACAAAAGATGACCTTATTTTATAGTTTTAATACAATCCATTAAGTCTGTGACAAAACAATCGATGTGTTTCCAGTGTTTATAAAATAAAAAAAAATGTTTTCAACGTTTGAGACCTATTAATTGTTTAACTCATGATGGTGCAGCGCTCCCTTTTGAGGTTACATTTTCTGTCTTTCAAAATTTAACAGTGAGGGTTCAGAATGAGTAGTTCAGTATTTTCACATTTTCAGTTCATTTCAAGCCTTTTATCAACTAAAAACACAGGAAAAACAAAAAGTTCAATGAGTTTATCAGAACTAACAGATTTCAATTCTAGATTAAATGTATTTTAAGCAGGTTCAAGGAAATAATTGTTGAAGTGTCAAATTGTGGTGGATCTCTGCAGCTCATCCAGAGCAACCAGCTGCTCTGTTTAATACTCCTCCTCTGTCCATTCAGTAAGGATAGACAGCCATGTGTAGATTGGTAGTAGATTGTTTGACAGCCATCAGTAGATTGGCAATTCCTTATTTAGACCTGACAGATGCCTAATGAAATGAGGTACATCCAAAGATCACCCTGCATGTCCACATTCATGAGCAATCCTGAGCAATAGATGTGCAGAATGAATGAATGAAAGGGATATGGGTAAAAACCAGGATCGGTTAACTGAGAGAACAGTGGTAACATTTGTGTGCAGTGGTAGCTGAACTGTAGTTTAGGGTTTACAAATCAAAGCATTTGTAAATCCATCAAGATTTCAGTGAAATAAGAGGATTTGCATTTGCACAGATCACTCACCTTTACTGAGAAATTATAGCTCCTGCAAGAGAGCCTGCCTGTCGCTGTTGATGGTGTCTAGCAAGGCACCATCAGAGATATGGGGAAAAGGGTCTATAAACAGTTTAGTTTATGTGAACCACAGAGATCTAGCGATTGTATAGATATCTATGGTTGTTATGCGCACACTCAACTCTGAGTGAACCTATTTTATTCAGAATTGATTAAAATAACTCCCAGTTGCTGCTTTGAAACTAAACACAGTTTACAATCTTAGGCTAGATTGACTCAGTTGGGGAATTTAGTCTGAGTTTATTAAACCGGTTTACTGAAATGGGACCCTTGAAGAACTCTCACTGAGGTTCCAGACAAAGGTTTGAGTGTATTTGGTGTAGAGTGCTTATAGTTGCACAATCAGGGTACATCAGCTTTTTATTGTAATTTTTAACATATGTTCTGTCAGTTTTGGGTTTTGTTGCTTTTCATTTTGAATTTGTATAAGTGCACTTTCGAAAAAGCACACATTTCTCTGCCTTTTTTTAAAGCATAAAAAATATTAGCCAAATTCACCATCGATTTTTGTACATACAGACTAATGCAGGATTACCATCAAATCAAGATTAGATAAAACCTCTTTCAGACAAGGGTCATGAGAAAGCATTCTACCATTGACAGCTGTCATAAATTCGAACAGTTAGCAAGAGTGTAAAATGAGCAATTTTAAAGGCCATAAAAACTTTTCTGATTCAAGTAACCAGTGGCGTTGTATGAGGGGAGGAGCCATCGATAACTAGAAGCGACCATTGGGTAACAGAAGGCGTCAGACTGCTAGTTTATCTGACTTGTCTAATGGAAAAAGGGTGTGGTGCAAGGATAAGAGCGGTGAGTAAAGATCAGGCTAAAACTGTCCAACCAAATAGATCTGATTGTAGCTCTGACCAGCGTAATACCTGTTAGTTTAGATATATTAGATACCTGCTTGTTTTGATCAATAATCCAGCTTGAGGAGACAAGAGGACAGATTAGGCTTCACTGTGACAACAATGGCAACTTTGTCTACAATGTAATGTTGACACGTACAGAAAGGCAAAATAAATGCATTCATAATGCTCCTTGGTACATGAAAATAACAAAGGTGAAAGACCTGAAAAATCAAAAAAACTTAATGAAACAATACATGTTAGCATACCAAAATTAGAAATAATCATATAAATCCAACAGTTGACCTTGTTTTAGGAGAAAAATCAAAGAAATCTAAGATCTAACTGTATGTAAAGGTCAATAATCAGCCCTGATTCAAAGCAATTTCTGCCAATTAAACATAAAAAATGTAAAGATATTTTTGCCGGACTGCAAGTTCTTCTTTTTCCCAATTGCAAATGCAAAGTTTGATGGAAATGCTTCTGGCAGTGCTTTGCAGAGGCATTACGCGCTTATCAAATTCTTATTCAAAATAGATACATTTAATTCATGTGCTTCTTTTACAGGGTCTGAAACTGGAATTTTAAAATAAAAATTTAAAGCAGGTTCATGGAGCTATAATTGTGTCCTACTGATATACAGTATACTGAACCTTTCCCATTTTAGATTTTCCTTTTCAATCTCATTTTACATTTCCTCAATAAAGTCATTTTCAAAGTCAGTTATCGTCCTCAGAGCACTCAGGATCAGAGTGTTAATATCCTTGGCTGCATTGATTTCTTCACTGTAGTTCTTCACAGGAAAAATGCAGTTCATGGGGATTCCCATGACTGCGCTGAAATCTCTCATCTTCACAAAGTTTGAAATGTGGTTGTATGATATCTCTAAACAAACTGAATCTCACCTTCTTTCTCAGGTGTTTGCTCTTGTACATGTTCCTCAAGTTTTTTTCTATTTCCACAGGCTTCACCAATGTGCGTCATCATGTCTATTTGAGGAATTCCTGCAGGAAAAGAAACCCACTCAAATAAATCATTATTGCTTTTTATTATTAAAAAGTAACACTGATGGTGGACTTTTTTGGGATTTCTTCTCACACCAGATCAATCTCTTTAAACTCATCCAGGTCACTGTCTGTTTCTCCGACACTTCATCTTCTCCAGAACTGATGATTTAATATGTGGAGCGTTTGTAAACCTCACACAGACCACCACATTAACTTAATCAGCAGGATAAGGGGTTGGGTTGCAGCCTAGGTCATCTTGAGATAGTGGGCCTACTGGATTAAACTGGAAAAAAGCAGAAGATACAAAGTGGAGTTTATTCTAAACAAACACAACCCTTATCTTTAAACCAGGTGTACTTTCAATCACTTATTTTCAGAACTGGTTGCAGTTGTTGCACCGTGTGGCCCTCTTTCACATGTCCCCTCAAACCCGGCTTGATGTCATCCACATGGACTCCATGGTTGGTCCCATCTTCCAGACCCATGATGTTGTTGAAGACCACAGAGTAAAATGTCCATGAGCTTCCTCTACCTTTAATGAATTTATGAGTTTCATACTGAAATACAGAAAGGTGTCATGGTTTTGGTTTATGTTCAAGTTTTATCTCTGAGTTTTCATTGGTCTTTTTTATTATTTAGGTATTTTTTATTGTATTTAAATTCTTGGATATTTCCTGTCTGCCCTCTTGTGTCAGTCTCCTTTTCCCTCCCTCCCTTTTTGCCTCCTCTTTTCACACCTGCTCTCAATCTACTAATTAGCCTAGTCTTTGTTTTCCATTTGTTCTCCTCCTGCTCAGTCACTCTTTGCTGGTTTGTCATCATTACTTTGTCCCCTTCTTGTTGTGAGTATTCATGTTTTTCAGCATTTTTGGTTTTTCTGGATTTATACTTTTGTTGAACTTTTTGTTAATTAAAACCTTGAAGTAACAACCTTGAGCTTTTGTGTCTGCTTTTGGGTCCTGGTAAGCCACCCCAACTCTGACAAAAGGGAAAAAATGTTGGTCTACAGACAATCCCTGTTGCTGATACAGTAATTTTGATTTATTCATGAAACTCTCACAGAACCAGACCCAACAAACCAGAAACTGTAAGGTTAGAAGTAAATTTTATCTAAACACAGAGTCTACATAAGCAAAGAAACCTGAATATGATCCAGATGCAGTGTTGAACCAACAGCCACTCTGACCTGCTCTTGTTCTGTTACACATTTAAGTTTTTATTCATTGAAATCTTCAGAGATAAACCAAAAAGTCCTAATTTTTTTATTTTTTTACCTTTTTAGTGAAGCTCTCTTCTTTGGACACAATCCCAGTGGACATAGCAGGACTCCTCATCCGACCGTAAATTACATCACTAACCGAGCTGATAAAACTCAACTTCCCAGGTCCAACTGGACCATACAGAAGGACTCGAAGGTACCTGATGTCATCTTTTTCAGGCTAGTATTCCAGAACATATTGAAAATCCCCCTGTTTTTTTCTTTTTCTTCTAATGTGAAGTACAGAAGTTACATAGTTCTCTTCTAAAATGAACATGACAACAGAAAATATTAAAACCCAGCTAGAAACAAATACGGACAGGAGAAGAGATTAAAGGAATAGTACACCCAAAACATGATAAGCCTTCATTTTCTACTC